TCCCTTACATCCAAAAGAGACGGCTGGAAGGCAAGATACCCCACCACCAAGCCCCGTGAACCCCCAGCCCCCAGACACCACCAGACCCCGTGACCCCACCAGCCCCCGGCCCACAGACCCGTGCACCACCCGATGATCATTCAACCAAGAATAGTGTACCATTCAACAGGAAAATAATAGGTACAATAAACAAGAGCAATTTTAAGTTATTCTGAGACTCTCTCCTAAATTTGTTTTTTTTACTTTTTCATAATATACTGCTGTAGAACTTTAGCCTGGTTTGCCCCTTGGAGGAGGGGGATGAAGCCTCATTTGAAAAATTGGGAGAGGGTGGCCTCGTTTTGAAATTGGGAGGGGGATGAAGCCTCATTTGAAATTGGGAGAGGGATGAGCCTCGATTTGAAATTGGGAGGGGGATGAGCCTCGTTTTTGAAATCTGGGAGGGGAAATGAAGCTCGATTTGAAATCTGGGAGGGGGATGAAGCCTCGATTTGAAAATCTGGAGGGGGAATGAAGCCTCGATTTGATAATCTGGGAGGGGATAAAGCCACGATTTGAAATCTGGAGGGGGATAACCCTCGATTTGAAATCTGGAGAGGGATTAAGCACGATTCAATCTGGAAGGGGCTTAAGCCATATTTCAATCTGGAAGGGGCAAGCCAGATTCGGGGGGGGAGGAAATTGAAAATATAAAAACTGAAAAATATCTAGAATCGTCTTTAAAATCATGATTTTCAGTAACGTGAAATTTTTAAAATTTTTTAAACTGTTTTGATTAGTGTCACTGGTCAATAAAAAGTGACAACGCCATTAACCTGAAATAACAATATTATAATCAAACTAGCGCTAAACCCACAAGGGTCGTACGCACACAAAACAAAAGGCATCACCATTCGGGAAATAAGTCAGTGACTTTTGGGTTTCCTGAACGATAATTACCAACCGTGTTACACGTGATAATTTACACGTGTACCACGTAATAATTTACACGTGTACAGTAATAATTTACACGTGTACACGTGATAATTTACAAGTGTACAGATAATTTTAAGTGTACACGTGATAATTTACACGTGTACCCGTGTAATTTACACGTGTACGTGTTTAATGTAACGTGTACACTGTAATAATTTACCTGTACACGTGTAATTTAGTGTACACGTGTAATTTACAGTGTACAACGTGATCAATTTACACGTGTAACGTGATAATTTCAGTGTACACGTGAAATTTACAGTGTCACGTGATAATTTACGTGTACACGTGATATTTACACGTGTCACGTGTAATTTACACGTTGTAACGTGTAATTACAGTGTACACGTAATTAAATTTACCGTGTACACGTGTATTTAAAGTGTAAGATAATTTACACGTGCTACACGTGATAATTTACACTTGTAACGTTGTTAATTTACACGGTGTACGTGATAATTACACGTGTAACGTAATAATTTAGATGTAAACGTGATAATTCAAGTTCAGATAATTTCACGGTACGTGATATTTACACGTTGCACGTTGATAATTTTACACGGTTTACAGTGTATGTTACAGTGTACAAGATAAATTACAGTGCTCACGTGATAATTTAACATGTACACGTGATAATTTACACCGTGTACACCGTAATTTACACGTACACACGTGATAAATTACAGTGTACAGATAATTTACACGTGTACACGTAATAATTTACACGTGTACACGTGATAATTTACACGTGTACACGTGATAATTTACACGTGTACACGTGATAATTTACACGTGTACACGTGATAATTTACGTGTACACGTGATAATTTACACGTGTACACGTGATAATTTACACGTGTACACGTGATAATTTACACGTGTACACGTGATAATTTACACGTGTACACGTAATAATTTACACGTGTACAGATAATTTACGTGTACACATGATAATTTACACGTGTACACGTGATAATTTACACGTGTACACGTGATAATTTACACGTGTACACGTAATAATTTACGTGTACACGTAATTTACGTGTACACGTGATAATTTACAAGTTACAGTGATAATTTACAGTGTACAGTTAATTTACACGTGTACACGTGATAATTTACACGTGTACACGTGATAATTTACACGTGTACACGTAATAATTTACACGTGTACACGTGATAATTTACAAGTGTACAGATAATTTACACGTGTACACGTGATAATTTACAAGTGTACAGATAATTTACACGTGTACACGTGATAATTTACACGTGTACACGTGATAATTTACACGTGTACACGTAATAATTTACGTGTTACACGTGATAATTTACAAGTGTACAGATAATTTACACGTGTACACGTGATAATTTACACGTGTACACGTGATAATTTACACGTGTACACGTAATAATTTACACGTGTACACGTGATAATTTACAAGTGTTTCCACGATACAATTTAAAACGCTGTACACGTGATAATTTACACGTGTACACGTGATAATTTACACGTGTACACGTAATAATTTACACGTGTACACGCAATAATTTACACGTGCACACGTAATAATTTACACGTGTACACGTGATAATTTTAGTTATTTGTAGCTGTATCTAAATAACCTTAATATTTTCCCTCCACCATTGGTTGAGACAATGTATTTACGTACAATTATGATGGTAATATTTATTTCTACCAGCACAAGGTATACAGACCATAGTTGACATCACTGACATACTATATAGAAGGTTCCTTGTCATACAGAGCATTTCCAGCAAATTAGGTCAATTTTGTCCCCAGGATGTGACCCACACCAGTCCACTAACACCCAGGATGTGACCCACACCAGTCCACTAACACCCAGGATGTGATCCACACCAGTCCACTAACACCCAGGATGTGACCCACACCAGTCCACTAACACCCAGGATGTGATCCACACCAGTCCACTAAACACCAGGATGTGACCCACACCAGTCCACTAACACCCAGGATGTGACCCACACCAGTCCACTAACACCCAGGATGTGACCCACACCAGTCCACTAACACCCAGGATGTGACCCACACCAGTCCACTAACACCCAGGATGTGACCCACACCAGTCCACTAACACCCAGGTACCCAGGCTTACAATCGTTTTACTAAGGCAAGATTTTAACTCGGGGAAAGGGTTAAACACCAAGGATAGGCTAATAAAGTCAGTCCGTCATCCAGAACTGTGATTTCTAATGTCATCCTTCAATACTGTCCCCCAGGATGCTACCCACACCCGTCGACTAGCACCCCTGTACCTGCTTACTGCTAGCTGAACAAGAACAGTAGGTGTAACGAAATATGCCCAACTTTTCCACCAATAATAATAATAATCTTTATTTACTACAAGTACATGTACATGGTATACAGTCCTAGCTGACAACAATAACATACTACTATATAGAAAACCACTTGTTATGCTGAGCATCTCGGGCAAATTAGGTCAGTGTCCCAGGATGCGACCCACACCAGTCGACTAACACCCAGGTACCCATTTTTTACTGATGGGGAACATAGACAACAGGTGGAAAGAAACACGCCCAATGTTTCTACTCTGGCCGGGGATCGAACCACAGACACTGGAGGCAAGTGTGCTATCAACCGAACCACTGCTTTCGTACACCATTTTTCATTAAAAACAAAACTGCACATTACAGGAAATATGGAGATACACAAGGAGTGAAGGTACTAAGTATCTATAGGTTATTCAGGAACAATTACATAATTCCTGGCGATTACAAGTCTCGCATAACATTTGTAAATTACCCAGGATACCCCAAAAGATACAGCTTGACTATTGTATTAAGTAATATATATTACTATGTAAAGCATTGTAAAAGTCTGAACTTTATGTAAAGCTAAATATTATTAAAAAAAACTAATACACAGCTCCCAAGTAAATAGTTTCTCCTAATACCTGAGAAGAGACCATTTTCTTTATACTTTCCACGACACTTGAGGGGTAACTGTTGCAAACTGAATGTTGTATTAATATTGGTAGAATTACCGAGAATATGTTACGTAAAAGGACACAAGCGCAACTAATGTGACATTTTATTGTGGCAACGTTTCGCTCTCCAGGAGTTTTGTCAAGCTGGCTTGACATAACTCCTGGAGAGCGAAACGTTGCCACAATAAAATGTCACGTTAGTTGCACTTGTATCATTTTACTTAAACTGAATATTGTATAAGAAAGGTTACAGCATGGGAAAAACTTTAATGCTAGTAAAGAACTCTTGATCCAAGGAATTATACTTTTCCCCTTCCTCCTATCGAACCTGTTTACCCCCTCTAATACCCAGGTACCACATAACCCTTATAGTTTTAGAACGTTCCCATGAAACATTGTGGCAGCATTGGACGTGTGTTCTTACACCTGTTGTCTATGTTCACCCATCAGTAAAATGGGTACCTGGGTGTTAGTGGACTGGTGTGGATCGCATCCTGGGACAAAACAGACCTAATCTGCCCGAAATGCTCTGCATAACAAGAGGCTTTCTATATAGTAGTATGTCATTGAGTAAGTTTATTCAGGTATACACAAATACAGTTACATAGATTATCATACATAGCAGTATATGTGTAAAGAACCTGGGATAACCCAAGAAAGTCAGAGTGATTTATTGATGTCAGCTATGGTCTGTATACCTTGTACATGAACTCCTTTTGCTGCCTGTATCTTTTAAACCAGAGGTCATTTGCTAATTCCCTTAAAAGACGTTAACATTATTTGCGAACTACCCATTAGTTAAAAGCTGGAAAATCGAATTCTGTAATTTTCAATCTAAGGAATTTAAGGTTCCGGCTGTAATAAACACAATACAAGCACCAACTTACCTAGTGTGAGAAGACACCAGAAATTTGACTATGGCATGGCAACTCAATCACATAATAAAAAAAACTGATTAATAAATGATTACTCAAGTGAAAAGACTTAGTGCAACAACTTTACAAATATGTAGGAGTATATAGTTGAGAAACTTACTTAAAAGTTTGTGTGGAAACGTGTAAGATAAGACGATGGAGGCGGGCTAGCAAAGCTGTGAAGGATTCCTTCTCTTCTTCTGTCCTCATCAACTGAAAAACATATTACATTTTAATATTTTTTATTTCCGTATGATACAATGTTTGTACAGAGATGGGCGACATGTAGATGTGCATGAGGAAAGCTCGTAGTTATGTTGAGCATTTCGGCAAAAAGATATTCCAAGTTTACATCAAGTATCAATCTACACTATCTCAGCTTATGTCTCCCCCCCAAGCAGGTGACAAAGGAATAATAAATTCACACATATTCAATTCAATCCTCTCCTACCATATGCAAGCCGACATCACACTTCAGGTTACCCTCAAATTACATTATCTTTATGTAATTGGAAAAAAAATCCATTGAAGCAGCAAGTACACTAGTCCTGGTCAGAGTCTGGCCCGCAGGGGGCGCTGACCCCCCGAAACCTTCTCCAGGTATACGAGTTCCCTCCATTACAAACGCACCAACTTTGATTTGATTTTATTAAAAAAAAATTTGCATAATATAATGATTTTCAACATACTGGCAGCCTCCCACCCAGGCAAGGTGACCCGAAAAAGAAACACTTTCACCATCCTTCACACAATAACAATTTATGTCTATTCATATTATCTACATACCTTCACAACCATCGTGCAGTCTTAATACTTAATACTAATCAACGTGTCGGTTCTGTGAACCATTCATCTACAGTCTTAATACTGTTTATTAAATCATTTCCTGAATAAAGCTTATCTTCTCGACTCTTACAAATGGGGAACTAGAAAGTCAATAACATTTTAACACCAGCCCAGCTACTGAACAAACATGTGATATATAACCCTCTTTTGTACTTTTTCCTATAAAAATTATTCTTGTCTTCCCAGAGATGAAACACCAGGAACGTATCGTGTAAACTGACAGCTATGCAGCAACAGTTGAAAGTGAAAGTTAAACAAGTTACGAAAGTAATTTTTTAAAGAACTGGCCATATCCCACCGAGGCAGTGTCACCTAAAATGAAAAAAGAAAGCTTTTCTTTTTTAAATTTAGTAATTTATACAGAAGGGGTTAAGAAAGTAATATGTGTTTATTATTAAAAGTACTATTATTTGGGGGCTGATGGAATTTTGAGGGCTTGAGCCCCCCTTGACACCACCATTAATTATCTGGCAGAAGGGCTGGACATCACAATTCACATGACAGTCTAAACACTAAGTGTATTGGATAAGAATAAATGGTGTACCAAACTGACGAGTTAATGAGACACTTGAGCAACATGGGGGAAATCTTTATTCTGGAAACGTTTTGCCACTCTTGGCTTCATCAGTCCAATGCAAATTAGAATGGCGATGATCAGAAGTCTGAGGTAATCAGTCACTGATCTTCACTATTCTTTGTATTGGACTGATGAAGCCAAGCGCTGCTCAAGTGTCTTATTTATAATTAAGTGTATTAAAATAATATTCAATAATGGTGGTTTTAGTGTTGAAACATTAGATTCTTGCACAGGGAGAGCTATTAAAGTAAATATACATTAAAATATTATGAATATACCTGCTCCTTCAGCTGTGTAATAATAATCCTCTGCTCAGCCACTTCATTCATCAGCTTCATCAAGTGACTGGTCTCCATGTAAACGTCCTCTTCAAATTCTAGATCAACTTCTCCAACTTTATTCTCATTATTCTTTACGGCATCTTCGAGTCGCTCAGTTCCTCGATGATTCTGATCCTTATTCCTCTCATTACCATCAGCATTCAAGTCCTCATCGAATCCGAAGTCTAGTATTGCACCATCAATCTTTTGTTTTTCTGTATTTAAATTATCATACATACAGTCCATGCTCTTTTTTTCAATAGAGTTCCTAGTATCTATGTATGAAAATTCACGATCTTGCTCGATACTACTGTCATTAATATCATATTCCTGAGAAGTACAGTTTAGTTCATTCTCACTATCTTTGGCACATACAGGTTTCTTACTAAAATAACATTCATCACTTGTTTCTTCACTTCCTAAATCTAACCCAAAATGATTATCTTTGTGACTCGCATGTTTGTTCATAGTCTTGAAGGTAATGGGAGAATTGCTTGTGGGAGAATTAGAGGTCTTACCAACATCAGAGCTAACAGAACTGCAACCACCATCATAACTGTTTCTCCTTCCAGCATCATATTCACTAAATGAGCTTAAGGAGTCTCGTCTATCTTGAAATCTCTGCACTATTTTGGAGAGATTACTGCCACTGTATGTTAAGCTTAATCTCTCACTGAGCTCTGAGTTCACTGGGCTTGCGGACTGACTAGAATGCTCAAATTTTGAAATAAGTTGAGAGACTATAGACCCAGGCGTCCTTTGGATTCTTGACCGAGGTGTTGCACTTTGCAATGAGGGCACCCGTGCGTCCTGCGAGGTACTTAATGGTCCTCTTTTAAAAGAGTGACTTAGTGGTGACTTTCTGTAGGGTGACGGAGTTTCCACTGCAGTTTTTCTTGTGATCTCCTGGAGCTGCTTTCCTAATTTTATCAGTTCATCTGTGAAAATATAATTCTCCAGTAATTTATCTCAGCAAAAGAACTACAAAAAGTATCTACGTGTTAAAGTCAACGTTATGTAAAAAATATTTCAGGAAGAATATGATCTATTTGTAAAAAAGAATTTAACTATTATTTATTTTTCAACACGTCAGCCGTCTCCCCCCGAAGTAGGGTGACCCAAAAACAAAAAAAAAAAGAAACACTTTCTTCATCATTCAACACTTTCACTATCATTCAGACATAATCACCGTCTAAACTATTATCATCATTAAACCACAGAACGGGTGGGGACTCATCCCATGGCAAGAGATCCATAAACCTCCAGGAGTGTGTGGTGCATTACCAATTGCGTTATTACGATTTCGTGATTTTTTCTAAGCATGAGCCATTTCCCACCGAGGCAGTGACCCGAAAATGAAAACGCTAAAATGCTTTCATCATCACTCACTCTATCAGTGTCTTGCTAGAGGCTCAATGATGCTACAGTTCAAGAACAACAACATATCCCCACCCATCCTTCAGAGTGCAGGCACTGTGCTTCCCACCGCCAAGACTCAAGTCCAGCTAACAGGTTTCTCACACAGTCCAGCTAACAGGTTTCTCACACAGTCCAGCTAACAGGTTTCTCACACAGTCCAGCTAACAGGTTTCTCACACTCCAACAGCACATCAAGTCATAAACAAACACCATTCACCTCCACTTGCTCCTAACACGCTCACACAAGCTTGTTATAACAAGCCACTCACTCGCACACAAAAATTTCGTGGTTTTTTTTTTTTTTTTCAACACGCTGGCCGTTTCCCACCGAAACAGGGTTTCCCCCCCCCCCCAAAAAAAAAAACACTTTTACCATCATTCACCCCCCCCCCCTCCCTTTTTTTTTTTTTTTTTTTTTTTTTTTTTCAACAAGTCGGCCGTCCTCCCACCGAGGCAGGGTGACCCAAAAAGAAAATAAATCCCCAAAAAGAAAATACTTTCAAACAATCATTCAACACTTTCACCACACTCACACATTATCACTGTTTTTGCAGAGGTGCTCAGAATACAACAGTCTAGAAGCATATACGTATAAAGATACACAACATATCCCTCCAAACTGCCAATATCCCAAACCCCTCCTTTAAAGTGCAGGCATTGTACTTCCCATTTCCAGGACTCAAGTCCGACTATATGAAAATAAACCGGTTTCCCTGAATCCCTTCACTAAATATTACCTGCTCACACTCCAACAGATCGTCAGGTCCCAAGTACCATTCGTCTCCTTTCACTCACATCTAAAACACGCTCAGCACGCTTGCTGGAAGTCCCAAGCCCCTCGCCCACAAAACCTCCTTTACCCCCTCTTCCCAACCCTTTCGAGGACGACCCCTACCCGCCTTCCTTCCCCTATAGATTTATATGCTTTCCATGTCATCTCTACTTTGATCCATTCTCTCTAAATGACCAAACCACCTCAACAACCCCTCTTCTGCCTCTGACTAATACTTTTATTAACTCCACACACTTCTCCTAATTTCCAAACTCCGAATTTTCTGCATAATATTTACACCACACATTGCCCTTAAACAGGACATCTCCACTGCCTCCAAACGTCTCCTCGCTGCTGCATTTACCACCCAAGCTTCACACCCATATAAAAGTGTTGGCACTACTATACTTTTCATACATTCCCTTCTTTGCCTCCATAGATAACGTTTTTGACTCCACATATACCTCAACGCACCACTCACCTTTTTTCCCTCATTAATTCTATGATTAACCTCATCCTTCATAAATCCATCCGCCGACACGTCAACTCCCAAGTATCTGAAAACATTCACTTCTTCCATACTCCCCTCCTCCCAATTTGATATCCAATTTTTCTTTATCTAAATCATTTGACACCCTCATTACCTTACTCTTTTCTATGTTCACTTTCAGCTTTCTACCTTTACACACATTCCCAAACTCATCCACTAACCTTTGCAATTTTTCTTTAGAATCTCCCATAAGCAACAGTATCATCAGCCAAAAGTAACTGTGTCCCAATTCCCATTTTGAATTTGATTCCCATAATTTAATCCCACCCCTCTCCCAAACACCCTAGCATATACTTCTTTTACAACCCCATCTATAAATATATTAAACAACCATGGTGACATTACACATCCCTGTCTAAGACCTACTTTTACCGGGAAGTATTCTCCCTCTCTTCTACACACCCTAACTTGAGCCTCACTATCCTCATAAAAGCTCTTTACAGCATTTAGTAACTTACCATCTATTCCATATACTTGCAACATCTGCCACATTGCTCCTCTATCCACTCTATCATATGCCTTTTCTAAATCCATAAATGCAATAAAAACTTCCCTACCTTTATCTAAATACTGTTCACATATATGCTTCATATTCACCCATATCACTATTATATTCTTAATGTATAACTGTACCTTTAAGATACTGAGCCTTGAAAACGATAAGTTATCAAATTTAATTCAAGGTAATTATCTTTAATTCTCTGGATGAATAGCACTTCACCAGCAGCAAGACTCAACATAATATAAGAGAACTTTGAACTTACTACGGTGAGACTTGAAGTGAGCATGAAGAGCAGAAGTGTCTTCCTTAATCATACTCTTCAGAAGAGGTACACCTTCTTCCTCCCAGTCCTGCCACAACTTCAGCTGTTGTAAATGAACTCGTTAAATCATGTTGTTGATACAAGTGTCCAACATAAACCCTACATGAATGTTAACTAATGTTTAAATAATATTCACCTTAACAATAACTCAGAATACTAAATAACCTTAAAGCTGATAAATCAAGGCGCATGTGCAACACTTGGGGTATCTTTAATGAGGAAACATTTCGCCACACAGTGGCTTCATCAGTCCTATACAAAGAAAAATGGTCAAGATCAGAGGAGTTTGAGGTAATCTGTCCCTCAGCCTGGAGTCTATAATCAGTCCATGAGTCTTGAAAAGAATGTAGCATATGCGTAAAGAAGTGAGATGAAGCAGTCGTAGTCGATATCACATTGGACAAATCCGAAAGTGGACGTAGGTCATGCCTATAGGTTAGGCAAGTGAAGAATTCCCTGTATCAAGACCCCAAGATGTTGCCGTGTCTGTCAGGAATGTATATAATGGGTCAGAGAACTTGTCGGGTCGATGAACCAATTTATCTACAACCTTAAAGCTATGTGACTACGTGACACTGTACCTACAGAGCACATAATTTAAAGCATCCTACAGCCTAAGGTGGACACATTATCCGAGTCATCAGTTCTTACTTAATTTTTTAAACATTTTACCCCCAGCATCCTGTTCATGTGTTACTCTGTCAAGACCTTTGCTTGGACTTAATACACTTGTGTATATTATCCAAAAACTTCAATTATTGTCATTTGTCGACTCCAACACACAATGGCAGTACTCTCAGTTCATAAATGAAGTACCTTCATTTATGGGTAGATGGAGACTATGACAAAGTTTTCTTACAACTGTTGCCCTTATTCACTTAGTGAATAGGTAAGATGGCTGTAATGGTTTGTAGTGACGGCTGGGCTTTGAAATGAGATGAGGTAGGAAAACAGCCTGGTGGCTAACGCTCTCGCTTCACACGGCGAGGGCCTGGGTTCGATTCCCAGCCAGAGTAGAAACATTGGACGTGTTTCTTTCCACCTGTTGTCTATGTTCCCCATCAGTAAAATGGGTACCTGGGTGTTAGTCGACCGGTGTGGGTCGCATCCCGGGACACTGACCTAATTTGCCCGAAATGCAGAGCATAACAAGGGAGTTTCTATATAGTAGTATGTCATTGTTGTCAGCTAGGACTATATACCTTGTACATGTACTTGTAGTAAATAAAGATATTATTATTATTATTAATAGTGTAAAAGAAAAATCTTAAGAGATACACTGATTAGTTCTCTAACCTTGTACTAGACATTTTTTCAATACCTGCCAAAAGACCGGTGACTTCACCGGAAAAGACAGCTGGAGCCTAGTCTTTCTTCCACTTGTGGGAAAGATGGATTCTCCTCTGGGAGAGAAATAGCACTGACCCACTAGTCCTGTGACAACTCGTCCCCCTACCCGAACACGATATGGGTAATGAACAAGGGCTACACGACTGGGGTTCGCTCTGAGACGGACATTGGCCAACAGTATTTGCAAGAAAGATATGGATCTTCATATCATGTACAATGTGCAAGGATGGTTTGGCAAGCAAATTCTTTACCCTGCACGAATCACTTTTAACAATTACATTATCACCATCTGGAACATGAGGTACAAGTGATATTCGACCGAGAGCACTAGGCCACAACAGAGACGTCTTTCAGCAGACGGCCTGAAACATCCACAAGGCACGGTGGCCCGTGGCCTGGTGGCAAAATTTCTCGCTTCACACAGAGGGGGTCCGGGACATCGAACCCTCGCCGGGTTTGATTCCTGGCGAGGGTTGAAACATTGGGCGTATTTCCTTACACCGATTGTCTATGTTCATTCATCAGTATAAAATGGGTACCTGGATGTTAGTCGACTGTGGGGGACGCTCCCTGGACAAAATTGATCTAATTTGCACTAAATGCTCTGCATAACAATTGGCTTTCTATATAGTAGTATGTCGATGTCAGCTAGGCCTATACATCTTGTACGTGTACTTTTTGAAATAAAGATATTGTGTGTTTCAAGTCAAAAGAAATGGGGAAAGTTTTACCATTTTGAGGACGAGGCTGGTCTGTGTGGAGAGTGCCACGTCAGAGACAGGAAGCTGAGTGATCATCTCCTCACTCTGACTCTTGGATGCTGTCATCACGTTATCTTCAATCTTTTCACAGAATGGTAATGAGCCACTTTCCTCACCCTGTAAAATAAGAAACAAAGCATCATTAGATTAATGGTATACAATATGTACTGACAAGCAGATGAGTAAGACATGTGTGCATCAGCTTACTTGGTTAATGGTGTTGAAAGCCTATTGATGTGAATAAATAATTTAGAAAACAGGCAAGTTGATAAATGAGATGCTTGTGCAATATTTATCTTTATTCTGAAAATGTTTCGCCATCTAGTAGCTTCTAGAGTCCAGTGCAGAAAAAGATGGAGGATGAGGAGTTGCAGGTAATCAGAATTGAGCCTTAAATCGGTGTGGTCACTCCAACGTTTTTATCAAGATTGATGGATTGAACACATCGACTCCAGGCTAAGGGCTGATTACCTGGAACTCCTCATCTTCCACCTTTCTGTGCACTAGACTTGTAGACAGCCTGTACTGTCTGCACAGACAGCCTATGTTGTCTGCCAGCTTAGTTCATATTTCGCGGCACTAAGGTGCTGCCCTCTCTTGGCCTGCCCAGGTCAGTGGGACGCTGGTCCCACTCACACTCGCTCACTCACTCAGCGGCCTAGAAGCAGTCAACAGTCGTCCTAGCTCTCTCGCTCGTGGGCATGGCCCTCCTGGGCCATGGGCACAACACACAAGCCTGTGTACCCACCACGACTTTGCAAATAAAGTAAGAAGCCTCCGAAGACGTATCATTCACGCACCCGCTACCAGCATCACCAAACTGGTTATAAATGGTGGCAGCGGTGGGATACGAAGTCAATGGTTGGTGAAACGTTTCCAGAATAGACACCCAAATGTTGCACAAGTCCTGGAGGGATTAGTATCAAACTTGCACACGAAAAATCACTCCCTATGAAAGCAAAAGACTCGGCAGGAGATGCAACATCCCCCCAATGCAAAGCAGGGGCGCCACAAGTACACAGAGACAACACAATAAGTGTCAGGGGCCCAAGACTGTTCAACTGCCTCCCAGCATACATAAGGGGGATTACCAATAGACCCCTGGCTGTCTTCAAGGCGGCACTGGACAGGCACCTGAAGTCAGTACCTGACCAGCCGGGATGTCGCTCGTACGTCAGTTTGAGTGCGGCCAGCAGTAACAGCCTAGTTGATCAGACCCTGAGCCACCACGAGGCCTGGTCTCAGACCGACCCGCGGGGGCACTGACCCCCGAAACCCTCTCCAGGTAAGTGTCTCGTTTATAAAAGCCTACAGACTACACGAGGGTCATTAAGGCTGCACGTAACTATTCACCATCAGTCAACAATATTTAAGTCCCTTAAAAAGGGAATTAAAATAACCTCTTTGTATATACACCGAGGCAAGTTTAGTGAGTCTAAAAAATAAAGTGTTTATAGTGTTTCTTATATTGCAATTGCAAAACTCACATTATTAATTAAATAAGCTGCTTTAAAAGGCTTACTACTGACAGTAATACAGAAAAGACAAAGAGATATATTTTATCAAATCCATAAAGAATAAAGTCGTAATACCGTAATTATGACGTTTTTATCCAACTTGGACCATTGACTAGTCACACACTAATACACGAAGGGAAGGGAGTCAGTATATATTTACAAGAGGGCAGGGACGGGAGAAAGATGGAAAAATAAAAAGAAGGGTTATTTGTGTATAACAAATAACAAATCCACCGACTTGATAAAACTCTAGAGAAAAACACTATCACAGTAACAGCTTCCTCTAACCCTCTCTCTTCAAAAATAAACTAGCAGCAGCAGGACTGAATATTAAAGGTCACAGCACTGTGGTTGGAACACTTCACGAATAATCTGCACTTAGAGAAACTTACAACAAACCATACCACGGGCGGGGCTTGAACCCGCGGTAGAGAGTCGTTTGCAATCGTGTCATTACGATTTCGCGAGTAGTTTATAAAAACATTTCGGTCCCTCCTGAACCAATGTCACAGTAAAACTATTATTTAGTCAAAAGTCACTTGACAATAGTCCAGAAGGCACAGACACGTCGCCACAAGATTATACATAACTAACAGTTGAACACATGCACACACGTGCTCTATGAGCAAATTGGATGACCTATTAAATGAATGCCCCCGAGACACCCAACCAGTTTCCAACATAACCTTACCATAGTTTGTATTTCAGAATGAATGCTGAGGGTGGCTTCTCGGGTGGGTCCAAGTAACGACGGAGTATCCTCTGGTGCAGACAGTGAGAGGGGTCCCCAAGTAGCTGCACTCAAAGGAACAGTCACCCCTTCCTCTACTTTACAAACATTTGGTGAAGATTCTTCCACTATATCAACACCACTAACCTGTAAATAAATTATTATTTTTCTTTTTCAACATGCTAGACGTCTCCCAGCGAGGCAGGGTGACCCGAAAAGTAAAGAAACACTTTCACCATCATTCACACTCTTTGTTATTGGGGAGTGCTGGTAAGTGGTATCATACAGTCTGGGAAATGAGAGCTAATCAGGTTTAATCCCAGGACTGGCCCGATAACTTCAATTTCTTGCATCAAGAACCATTTACCAGCACAAAGGCACTCCACTGAAGGGCAACTTAAGAAGTCAACTGCATGCATAAAATGTAAAAGCCAATTTGACTTTATTGCTTTTTTCTTTGTTAACTCTACATAATGTACATTGTTGTAAACAAAATCTATGTGATATTGCAACCACTGTACAGATTTATACACGTGTCTGTATATTCATTCCAATATTTCCTAACAAAAACTGATCGAAGCTAAAGACTTGCAATAAATGTTAGTATTAATAAAAAGTGTCAGAGAGAGAGCGGAAACTTGAAGTTGTTTACGGGACTGTAGGAGCATCAAGGAGAGAAATTGGGGGGGGGGGGGTGAGAAGGTGATGAAAGGAGGAGAGTAAAGCAGCGGGAAGGAGGGAGATTGTGAGAATTACAGAATGTGGAGCAGGGAGGTCTATAAGAATGGAGGGGAGAAGGGAACGGCAGGATGAAGCAGAGTAGGTAAGACAGGATAGAGCAGAGAGAGGCAGAAAGTAACGAGAGGGGAAGAAAGGTAGATCGATTAATGCGTTCCCAGTAGTTCAGATGCTTGACTAAATTTATATGAGCTGTGAAGGTTCTCTGTACATTTCCCAGCTCGGCAATTTTTGTTCATGGTTAAGATAGTGTACCTCGACTTCAGCTTGAGCCTTGACTGAAGCCAGCTCTTCCCTGACATCTGACAGCTGGTCCTCCAGGCTGGCTCTCTCCTCACGCAGAACCTGCCAACAAATATTTATAACAATACTGAGGCATCCTGCCATAAATCTAAAATTAATATACTTCAGTCTTTCAAAGACACTGATTTGCATCACATTATGTTGTAACTGGTATAGTTTGTACCCACAATGAAAAAAAAAAAGGTGCACAGTTCGGCATATTAGGACTCGTGAAGCCCCTAAGGGCGAAATATTTCCTTAACAAATGTCCAGAACTGTACACGAATTTCCTTTAATAATGCCCAGAACCGTACAAAAATTTTCTAGAAGTATACAAAAGTGTCCTTTTCAAAGATTAAATTACTTGCCAATTGTATATCAAAGGCAGATAAGTTGTATCACGTACTTGTAGGAATTATTATTATTATTATTATTATTATTATTATTATTATTATTATAACAAAAAACGCTAGGGTCCACATCAGGGCTATCTGCTTTGAAAAACTAGTCATTCTAGCTTGGTCTAAGTCTTGGATAGTTCAAATATATCAAAACATTTGTTTAATACAATAAACTAGTTCAAATATATTAAAACATTGGTTTAATACAATAAACATCATATTGGTAATTCCACATTTACTTGGCACATTTTTGTTTCTTTACAAGTTGAATTTGTGTAAAGCCATATTGACTAACTTTATGACCAGAAGATTGCTCTCACAAAACTATAAAAGTGTTTCCTCAGGCATGGAAGTGTCAACATTGTGAGCAGCAATAGTGTGTTTGCACAAGTGTGAGATCATCGTATAGAATGAGTAAGCTTCTGGAGACCTGCATGATATCGGGTGGGTGGTACCCTATTACTATTTTTTTTTTTTTTTTTTTGGGGGGGGGGAAATACCGGCCGTATCCCACCGAGGCAGAGGGACCTCAAAAGAAAAACGGAATTTTTCTTTTTACATGTAGCAATTTATACAGGCAAAGGGGTTACTAGGTTACAGAGCAATAATTCTTTTCCATATCCCCATAGAGATATCATAGGATAGAACTGGGCTTTGAAATGAGGTGAGGTAGGAAAACAGCTCTAAGCCTGTACAAACTGATGCGGGGGTAGTCACGCTACGTTAGGCTTGCCCAGGGAGCCTTACTATAAATAGTATTAAGACACATTTCACTGTTGACACTTTCCCTGACATGTCAAGTCAGTAATTAAGAAAAAAAAACACGTTAACGCTCTACAATACACCATTATAAACTCGCCACTGTATTACACACACACACACCACTTTTTCGTTAAGCATTCCTAGTGTTTTGTGATTGTTCCAGCCATGATGTTGCCACTAGACGTCATGCAAGCAGAAGGTTCACACACCTGGGATAACAGCTAATACATTTTGCGATTATCACAACTTTTAATATTAACAAAGTTACAGGTAATAAAAAAATATTCCAATATCAGAACTTCCTTTAAAGTTATGCCTCCTGGACCCTGTGTGCGCCTTTAATAAAGCTAATAAAAAGCTAATAGCAGGTCATGGCAACTTCATTTACTATCTTATGGCAAAATGACAAGAAATAATTATTTTACTGTTCAACTATTTCAGTTATTCCCCCCTAGAGGGTTATCAGTACTCACCATGTACTTAGAAATATCTAGCACAGATAAGATGGTACTAAGTTCCAAGGAGCTGCTCTTGTTTCCTGAATGACTATACACACACTACTATATATGACTGGCTCAGAAATTTAAAATATATCAAAGCCAGGTTTAAGTTGTTGATTAAAAATCTTCTAACATTTGGTTTAGGCCCAAACTCTTCCAAATAATTTTTTTTTTTAAATATCAACATCGCAACACGTACTGTCCAAGATTATAAAAGTTAGCTAAAAAAAAAAAAAAAAAAAAAAAAAAAACTTTCGAAAATTTTTCTTAGCAGTAATATACCATATCTCTCTAATTTTTTCGACACGTCAGCCGTCTCCCACCGAGGGAGGACCCGAAAAAGAAACACTTTCACCATCATTCAAACCACCATATTTTTTAACTCAATGACCATCTCTCATCGAGACAGGTAACCCAAAAAAATAAACACATTTACCAACATTCAATTGCCGTCTTTCCAAAAATGTACTGAGATACACAAATAACCCGCACATAGAAGAGAAGAATTTACGACGACGTTTCGGTCCGGCTTGGACCATTTACAAAGTCACACTAACGAAAAGGAGACAAGGAGGGGTGTATCGTTCCAGTCACGGTATTGTGCCTTTTTTTGTTATTTATGTGTCACTAGCACGTTAAGAGACAATACAATAAGTGTCAGGGGCCCGAGACTGTTCAACTGCCTCCCAGCATACATAAGGGGGATTACCAATAGACCCCTGGCTGTCCTCAAGCAGGTACTGGACAAGCACCTGAAGTCGGTACCTGACCAGCCGGGCTGTGGTTCGTACGTTGGATTGCGTGCAGCCAGCAGTAACAGCCTGGTTGATCAGGCTGTGATCCACCATGAGACCTGGTCACAGACCGGGCCGCGGGGGCGTTGACCCCCGGAACTCTCTCTCCAGGTAAATTCCATGTATGTACTGAGATCACAACGGGATTACCCTCCAACTGCGAATTCCTTCCTACAACCCACCACCAAGTGCAAGTATACTTCCCTTCCACCTCCAGGACTCAAGTCCTGCTAACAGATGTCAACATTTGTCATGTATAACTATAAGCTAACAAATGAGAAATGGTGAACGGGTTTTCTTTCTTTGGGTCACCTTAACTTGGTAGGAAACCCAAAAAAATTCGATATAACGGATTAATAGTTAATGGCTGGTACTGGCGATTATAATGTCTGAGGACATTTTAACTAATGGCCTGTCCGGTCTGTCCCACTCAACATAAACACCTGACACAAATGACCCAAACAGGAGAAATTTTATGACGATGTTTCGGTCCGACGTGGACCATAAACTAGTGTGACTAATTAATGATTCGAGTCGGACCGAAACGTCGTCATTGTTTCTCCTATGTGCGTGTTATTTGTGTATCTTCCAGTCACGGTATTGTGCCATTGTGTTCTTTGTACATCTCAGATTTTGTCCGTTAAATCGAGGTACTAAAGCAAGGTAATACTTTACACCGTTAACCTGACTGGAGTTTAAAAAATTGGATGAGGATGTTGTACTTCGGAAAATCTTTTGGCCACCCTTCAATGGTGGGTAATGGCTGATCTATTACAAAAAACGTACACTGATTCATACCTCTGTAAGTTTCCTGAGGTCCTTGACAGTTTCTTCCAAATGATGTGAAGCCAGAGCCTGTGTTTCAGCTTCATGTTTCCACTTTGCCAACTCAGCAACCAGCATGGCCACCTCAGACTTGTGGCTTCTCACTAACTCTCTCTCCACCAGTGTTTGGTTCTCAACATCCTCATGGGCGCTGTTGAGCTGTAAAGGGAGTCATGTAAATATCTTTAATTTTAATTAGTTCAGCTTTAAAAGCTTCTGGGTTACACGTGGGTTATCAAAAGTGTAATTCACCTGGATACTAAAGGATTTTATCCACAGTGGTATATTACAAACCAGTCTGGAAAAATACCCTGACTTTGCTCACTGTAAATAAAGCATTACGATGTGTGTGACCTAATTCATGTCTACATAAATAACTCGTTACGAATTTAATCAAATATAAACATATATGTAAATAGTTCACTACTACTAACTTGTTCAGCTATCAAAACTTTGCGGTCCAGTCCCTAGACCCATTATATATCTCTAATTTTACGACTACCGTCCACAGAACGGATATGGGGTGCATAATAAAGATATTAAACTAACATTAACATTCAAATTATGAACTAAAAGGAACTAAGAACTGAACCTCAATTCTAGAGTAGGAGAAAAATGATTATGTAGTATCGTGCAAGACGCGTAGGTAGATGTTCCTAATTTATAAGTTATTATATTTATGGGAAAGTGCTAAGCCGATAGGTGGCTTAGGAATGAGAAGTATATAAGTTTTGATCTAAGGAAAGGAAAGGTAGCCCCAATTTCTTGAAACGCGAGTCTGTCACCAACGTGAAAGCGCAACCCACACCCTAGAGATTTCGCGAGAACATGACCCTACTGAAGTCTCCCAGCTCAAGGTGACACATTTCAACACTATGAAACCCATTTTTGCAAAGGAATTCGACAGAGAAACCTATATTTTACGACTCTTGTTTCCACTGTGTAACTATCATTTAGAATATTACCTCATGTAAACCCATCCTGTGTGATGGAATATGACGTGGGAAACAAAGCTAGTTTGTGTTCGATGCAACCTACATATAAAACAGGGTAGCAACATATTGCTGACGTGTGCAATATTGCTAGATAAAAAAGAACATACCTGTTGGATGAGAGCCTCAAGTCTGAGGCTGAGAGCCAGGTTGTCCTTCTCCAGCTGAGCTAGGGTACTCTGTAGTCGCTCCTTCTCCTCTCTCTCAGAGTCCAGTTGGACACGAACCTCTTCCATCTCAGTTTCCAGTTTGCGTGCTGACACCAGCTGCTGTTGAACACTGTCACCCCCCCCAAAAAAATTTAATCAGATTACTGACCTGGAGAGATTTACCCTGTAAAGCCACTCTGGCTTATTTCCATTACGCCGCCCTACACAGTCGGCTGCTAGGTCGACAGTGACAAGGTGTAAGGGTGTCTTAAATTCCTTGGAACAAGAAATTGAAGCCGTAGAGAAACGTTTGTTCAATACCTTAATACTGTGCATGTGTGTTATTTCATATCTGTCGGTATTTTATACCTTATCTTTAATCAAATAAGTGTTTGTTCAGGTAAAGAAACTGTCTTAAAATACACGTTGGCCTCTTGAAGTAGTTAACAAGATTAAAAGAGATTGAATAACAAATGAGAGAGAGAGACTTTAGCACCCTCAAGAAGTTAAGATGATGAAAAAAGATTGAATGACAGCTTCCTGAGACATTAGTATGTCGAAGAAGTTCAAAAGATTAAAGAAAATGTGGATGAGAGAGAGAGAGAGAGAGAGAGAGAGAGAGAGAGAGAGAGACTGCAGTACCTTCAAGAATTTAACAAAGAACCTACTTGCTGAGTGTATGTTCCAAGTAACGACACTGCTCCCTGAGAGAGACGTTGGCATCCTCAGCATGGGTGAGAATGGTTGTGAGTTCAGCTTTCTCGCCTGTGAGGCGACGGTTGGTGTGCTCCAGTTCCAGGACCTCTTGTTCCAGTTCCCCTGGATCCCTGTCAACCACCACCACAACACAAACACTCATTCACCATAATAATATTTGCAAAAAAACGCTCATTAAATACTGCACAATTCAGTTATTATTTTTATAGCAAATACAATCAACTATTATTATTAATATGTAAAAAACGCCCACTACTGCATAATTCAATTAAGACAATCATTATTATTTAAAAAAAATCACTTTTTTCACTAAAAAGTTAAACGCAAATTTTAATTAATATCTATGGCAACAATATTACAAGAATTAACCAAACTTCGGCTCCCTTAGTTATGCAAATTCTTACATAGATTAGGAAAATTAAGCTAGGATACGAGACATAGTTAGCACGGTTAGGCTAGACTGCTGTGATAGTTTAGGGGAAAAATTAAAATCTCATGGGGTACTATTTTAAAAGTCTGCTAGGAAAAAAATCCTGACGCCGTTGTCAGTCACATGACGCTCTCAGTGAAGCTTTTGTTTCATGGAGTTTTTTTTTTTCCCTGGTTTAAACTTATCTGACGGAGGTTTTTCCTGGTTTAACCCTCATTTGACGGAGGTATTTTCCTGTCCAACCTATAAAAAAAATAACATTGCTTTTTACTCATCGCTTTAAACAAACAAAAAAAAAAACAGGGAATACTTTTTCACATATTAAGATTTCACCACTACATTTCACCACAATATTTCACTGATATATTTCACTGTTTTCCTTGGTGAGGGAGAAAGATCAGGTGATCAGCAGTAACCATTAATGCAGAGTAGCAACACTGGACGCTTTAGTGCCAATAAAATATTCAGATGAAGTCTGAGTGTCACTTACGAGTCAATGAAGTATTAAACACTCTGAGTGATCCTTAAAGAATCAACAAAGTCTTCATAATGAAGTCAAAGGTGATAAGAGTGAACTTAATAGAAGTTCACTGTAATCAGACAGTGAACATGATACAAGAATGAGATGCTCTCAACATGGCGTATAGGTAAAAGCTTTTGCCACAAAAGCTTGTTCAGTATACATGACAATAAAACCTTGCTCAGTATATATGCCACAATAAAAGCTTGCTCTGAATATACGGCACAATAATAGCATGTTCTGTATATACAACTTCATATGACTGATAACATACTACATACAATGTAAGATGTGTGGAAATGCCTCTGCTTTAGGCTTGTGGGACTAACCTCCCTCTATCAAGGCTGAGGGAATAACCACCTTCTACCAAGGCTGAGGGACTGACCACCCTCTACCAAGGCTGAGGGAATGACCGCCTTCTACCAAGGCTGAGGGACTGACCACCCTCTACCAAGGCTGAGGGAATGACCACCTTCTACCAAGGCTGAGGGACTGACCACCCTCTACCAAGGCTGAGGGAATGACCACCTTCTACCAAGGCTGAGGGACTGATCACCACCTACCAAGGCTGAGGGACTGACCACCCTCAACCAAGGCTGAGGGACTGATCACCACCTACCAAGGCTGAGGGACTGACCACCCTCAACCAAGGCTGAGGGAATGACCACCTACCAAGGCTGAGGGACTGACCACCCTCTACCAAGGCTGAGGGACTGACCACCCTCTACCAAGGCTGAGGGACTGACCACCCTCTACCAAGGCTGAGGGACTGACCACTTCTACCACGGCTGAGGGACTGACTACCTTAAAATTTCATCTATTTCCCGTTTTGCATTCGTCCGTATTCAACTGCAGAAGCCTGTTGTGTTGGCGAAACGTTTCAGCAATGAGAATACTCAAGTACTGTACAAGTGTCATAAATCTTTCACTGCAACAACAATAGAGTTGACAAGCTGCCTCAACAAACATGTAACTATAAAGAGCTCTATAACTGCTCTGTTAGAGCGGTGGCTCAAGACTAGCATCCGAGTCGATATCATGAGACGAGCACTAAGATGAGATAGAGGTGCTTGTGATGACGATAGCGGAGTGATGATGCAGGATAGATAACAAGTGGGTGGTATCGTTACATCAATGAGGGACTGATAGCCTCATCTTCTATCATCTGTGTATAATTCTGCTAGGCTGAGGACCTGATAGCATCTTCGACAGTTCCGAACACGTCTCTGTATAGTACTGATTAAGTCACTGGTTGTTGACTCGTCTACAGAAAGACGCGCAGGTGTTGTACGTGTGTCGAATTCGTCAAATAGTTGGATGGTTTGTCATCTCTCTCGTCCTAAGATCATGTACCATATCTGTACACTACTCATCCATAACTATACAATTTTCACTTGATTTATCAACACCAGAATACATTTACGACTGAGGGACTGATTACCTCATCTTGTACTGCTCTGCTATGTTCTGCATAGCCATGGGCTTTCTGCATGCACAACCAAATGCAGTCCATCTCTGTACAAACAATGCATCGTGTGCAAAAAATCTTTGATTTTGTCTTCCTTATATCTAGCGTTTTGAAAAAGTTACGGGTTGGAGAAGCGTCTTCAAGATAAAGACATGCAGGTGTTGCACATATGTAACTCACAAACCTGTCAAGTAGTGTATAACACAGATGTAATGATTCTTCACTTGTCATACCAACACCCCCCACATTCATTCATGCACCATACCTGAACACCCACAACTGCACATCCATAATTATACATTAATCAGGTATGACAGCTCCAGATAACATACGGTTTATTGAAATAAAGATATTTATCTCTACAAACGCTTATCTCTGCAAAGTTTCGTCGCTAGAGAATGAAACCTACAAATAAAGGTCCTAAGCTAAAAAAAATGTATATAATATTGTTTGTTTACTTAAAACAATGCCTGAAATACTGTTTGGTTGTTAGGTAAGACACATATGCAACAGTTAGGTATCTTTATTTCGAAACGTTTCACCTACACAGTAGGCTTCTTCAGTCGAGTACAGAAAAGTTGATAGAAGCAGAAGAGACTTGAAGACGATGTAATCAGTCCATCACCCTTAAAGTTTTGAGGTGGTCAGTCCCTCAGTCTGGAGAAGAACATTGTTCCATAGTCTGAAACAATATTGTTTCAGACTATGGAACAATTACTTAAGGCTGCTTCTCACCTGTGAACCACCAGTCAACAATACTTTAATATCTATAATAATGATTAATATACACCTTCAGGGTATGTACACTGAGATAGATTTCATTATATATATGATAAAATGCATTGCACTGAGGCTTTTCTACGTTAAGTCATTACCACTATAAAACAATACGAACCCAAAGCCGTAATGAATGGCCTTTAATGAAAACAATAATCCTTTGTTTATTCATTGACAGTCGTTCATTATGACTTACCTGGAGTGTATGGATTACATGAGTTTGAGGGGGTTGAGAATAGTGGTACCATGTAAGTTCCTGTAACTGGTGCCGGTGATATAATCACATCACTGCAGCACGTGTTGTGAAATCACCCGATTTCAACCGTCACTGTAGCGCATGTTGTGAAATCACCCTATTTCAACCATGTCACTGCAGCGCATGTTGTGAAATCACCCTATTTCAACCATGTCACTGCAGCGCATGTTGTGAAATCACCCTATTTCAACCGTCACTGTAGCTCATGTTGTGAAATCACCCTATTTCAACCATGTCACTGCAGCGCATGTTGTGAAATCACCCTATTTCAACCATGTCATTGCAGCGCATGTTGTGAAATCACCCTATTTCAAGCTTTGATAATAAACAGCTACTACAGCATTGAGCCTACTATATACATGGACCACGCTTCGAGTCTCCGTTCATTCTTCTTTACTCGTAAAACTACCTATAAACACGAATCCTTATGGAGAATAAAGATCTTAGTTCATATATATGTATAGTGTCAACATACGGTTTGGTGACGCCGCCTTCATCCTCTATACTGCCGTAGGTGAAGTTAAGAGCAGACTGCTCCGACAGCCGTCCCATGTGGTTCATCTTATCGCTCTCGCCTCTGCAAAACCATTACCCTCACAACTCTGATCTTGCAACAGCACCATTTCTAGTATAAACTTTGGTATTTGATACCCACAAATGGTTTAAAAATACACGTGAACAAACACTAGAACATACTAGAAAATGTTTTGGTTTTGGGACCACATTCATAACTGTGAAGTCACTCGTGGCGGCACGTTCCCTCTAATAAGTGTCCTAAACTATACGCAAATGTCTTTTTCAAAATTATATCGGTATCACCATACTAATTTTTCACTTCTAACATACCGTGATCAAGAATGACAGTGTATATTATGACTTACTATGAGAGCCTAACTTTAATTACTAAATTCAATCCTAGAGTTGTGAATTGTATACCGGCCACAATAGACTAGGTGCTGTAATTTCTGAATTCAGCTCTGAGAAACTAGATATAATTTCTATACTCAATCCGAGTTATGAATTGCTTCAGCCACGGTCTAATGATTTATTCAAAGATTAGGCTTAATTTCTATGTTTTTCTGACCTACTCTTTGACAAAAAAAATTTTGGAATTTTCAATGACCAACTTTTTACATGTTCTTTGCGTTTCAATTTTGAAAAATTAGGAAATAGGGGCAACCTAAATGTTCGAACTTGTTAGGTTTAGAGCCTATCGACTGTCTAGTCATATAGGCCTAAAATTCACGTATACTCTAGAAAATACTTTGAATTCCTAAAAAATATGAATTAAGGTATAATCTGTATATATGTACAGGGTATATGAACCTGTTTACACTTTATAAACTCGTTTATGCACAGGGCAAATACACCTGTATATACACTGGTTATATAAAGTATACGTTTATACAGGGTATATACACCAGTAGTTGCTGCAGTATATACACATCTGTGTATATACGCTGTACACATCTGTATATACGCTGTACACATCTGTGTATATACACTACACATGTGTATATACACTGTACACATCTGTGTATATACACTGTACATATATGTATATACACTATGTACACATCTGTATATATACACAACTATGTGCCTGGAGTACACACCTGCAGGTGGCATGGTCGAAGGTATTAATGTCAGTCTTGTCAGCAATGACGGAGGGTGTGGAAGCAGGTGGTACTGGTGAGGGAGAACGGGACATGCCCAGTCTCTTGCTCCTGGTCCCTACTATCCCGTCACCGTTGCCACCACGGCTCGGCGACCGTCCCCACGGCAACAGCGTGCTTCGTCTGTAACAAAAATATTGAATCAAATTATAAGTGGTATACAGTACCGATAAGTTGATGTGTGCTATACTTGGTATGTATCGACCGAAACATTTCGCCTGCCCAGCAGGCTTCAGTCGAAGACTAATGAAACCTACAGGGGGAAAGAAACGTCTAGTGTTACGAAATGTTGCATATTACGAGCTTTTTTGTTTTTCTTACAGAAACTATTTTGCTTATTTTTAACAAAACTGGTCCACGACCAGGCCTCCCGGTGGATCAGAACCTGATCAACCAGGCTGTTACTACTGGTCGCACGTAGTCCAACGTACGAACCCCGGCTCGGCTGATCCGGCACCGACTTCAAGTATCTGTCCAGCTTGAACATTAAAATGGTATAAAATACCGACGAGTTGTTAGGTAAGACACATATGCAACAGTTAGGTATCTTTATTTCGAAACGTTTCGCCTACACAGTAGGCTTCTTCAGTCGAGTACAGAAAAGTTGATAGAAGCAGAAGAGACTTGAAGACGATGTAATCAGTCCATCACCCTTAAAGTTTTGAGGTGGTCAGTCCCTCAGTCTGGAGAAGAGCATTGCTCTGGTGGCTAACGCTCTCGCTTCACACGGCGAGGGCCTGGGTTCGATTCCCAGCCAGAGTAGAAACATTGGACGTGTTTCTTTCCACCTGTTGTCTATGTTCCCCATCAGTAAAATGGGTACCTGGGTGTTAGTCGACTGGTGTGGGTCGCATCCTGGGACACTGACCTAATTTGCCCGAAATGCAGAGCATAACAAGGGAGTTTCTATATAGTAGTATGTCATTGTTGTCAGCTAGGACTATATACCTTGTACATGTACTTGTAGTAAATAAAGATATTATTATTATATTATTATTATTATAGTATGAAACAATATCTGTCCAGCTCCCTCTTGAAGGCAGCCTACTGGTAATTCCCCTTATGCCTAGTGTGACGCTGCCATTCTGCATCAACACAGGATGGGTTACATACATCAAGTAATGAAATGTGTCAGCCTGAGATGGGGGACCTGAGTATGGGGAATGAGGATATCATCTAAGCATTCGTTATGGTTCATCACGTACGACATGCTCCAGGGTTGTGGTTCCAGCAGAGCTGGAATTACAGTGGACCCTCGAATTTAGTCGTGCCTTTTCTGTATGCAAAACTATTTTTATCTATAAAATGTATTTTTTGTTAATATTTCCCACAGGAAATATTGTAAATCCAATTAAACCATTCCAGACACCCAAAAATATTAACAAAAAAAATACATTTCATAGATAATAAAAATAGTTTTGCATACAGAAAAAGCACTACTAAATTCGAGGGTCCACTGTACTTTTAAAAACCTGGGAACACTTAGGTATTTTTACTGCACACGTGTCTTACCAACTTGTCACTATTGTGAAACAAAAATAACGTGAAACCTGGTAATTACCATCTCTCACTGGATGTGCTATCCCCAGTTCCCCCCTCAAGGAAGGTTCCTTGATGTTGGTGAGGGGCTCTTGATTTAGGGAATTAGATCTGTGCTCCAGTTCCCCGAATTAAGCCTGAATGCCTTCCACATCCCCCCCAGGCGCTGTATAATCCTCCGGGTTTAGCGCTTCCCCCTGGATTATAATAATAATATCCGCGGATGGGTCTATGAAAGATGAGGTGAATCATAGAATTGATGAGGGGAAAAGAGTGAGTGGTGCACTTAGGAGTCTGTGGAGACAAAGAACTTTGTCCTTGGAGGCAAAGAGGGGAATGTATGAGAGTATAGTTTTACCAACGCTCTTATATGGGTGTGAAGCATGGGTGATGAATGTTGCAGCGAGGAGAAGGCTGGAGGCAGTGGAGATGTCATGTCTGAAGGCAAGTGTGTGGTGTGAAAATAATGCAGAGAATTCGTAGTTTGGAAGTTAGGAGGAGGTGCGGGATTACCAAAACTGTTGTCCAGAGGGCTGAGGAAGGGTTGTTGAGGTGGTTCGGACATGTAGAGAGAATGGAGCGAAACAGAATGACTTCAAGAGTGTATCAGTCTGTAATGGAAGGAAGGCGGGGTAGGGGTCGGCCTAGGAAAGGTTGGAGAGAGGGAGTAAAGGAGGTTTTGTGTGCGAGGGGCTTGGACTTCCAGCAGGCATACGTGAGCGTGTTTGATAGGAGTGAATGGAGACAAATGGTTTTTAATACTTGACGTGCTGTTGGAGTGTGAGCAAAGTAACATTATGAAGGGGTTCAGGGAAACCGGCAGGCCGGACTTGAGTCCTGGAGATGGGAAGTACAGTGCCTGCACTCTGAAGGAGGGGTGTTAATGTTGCAGTTTAAAAACTGTAGTGTAAAGCACCCTTCTGGCAAGACAGTGATGGAGTGAATGATGGTGAAAGTTTTTCTTTTTCGGGCCACCCTGCCTTGGTGGGAATCGGCCAGTGTGATAATAAATAAATAAAATCCGCACTTCCAATAATTAACTTGTAATTCCGTAGTCACGTAGTGTGTTTGGTGATTAACCGATGAGACTGAAGACACGTGAACAAACATTATGACGTATTAGAAAACGTTTCGGTCCTGGGACCTTGATTACTTCAAAGGTCCCAGGATCGAAACGTTTTCTGTCCTATTGTTTGCTCACGTTCCTGACCAGCCGGGCTGTGACTCGTACGTTGGTTTGCGTGCAGCCAGCAGTAACAGCCTGGTTGATCAGGCTCTGATCCACCAGGAGGCCTGGTCACAGACCGGGCCGCGGGGGCGTTGACCCCCGGAACTCTCTCCAGGTAAACTCCAGGTAAACGTATCTTTCTAAACCAATGTTTACCTGGAGTTTACCTGGAGAAGTTCCGGGGGTCAACGCCCCCGCGGCCCGGTCTGTGACCAGGCCTCTATCACTGACAGATTGGTTTATACGTAGTTATAAATTACAAAGCACAAGACCTTTTTAGTTATTGAGGTGAGTTGTTTTGTCAGTAAAGACAAATGTCAGCATAGTTGCTGATCCCTGTGTTGTATAGCATATTAGTATCATCCATGTGTTTATATAGAAGACCCCTTAGGCCTGTGACTGTATGACGTCACGGGATGCAGCTTGAGTGTGAAGCTAGCTACCTCGCTCTCAGTCGGCGTTTGACATAGGCTAGGACAGGCAGAGGCTGGGCTCCATTTCCCATCATCACAGTCTGACAATATATCGTTACCATCCAACAAGTGTGTCTACCTTCAATCCTCGATATCTCCATTTAAGAACCCCTACGATACAAATAGCTCACGACACGGGTGTTTGTCAGGGGGTGAAACGCTTAGTGGTCCACCATCCGCTAAGTTTGAATATTTAGAGAGAACAAAGCAGTATAGGATGACCAAGAAGGTGCGAAAATCTAGAGGAGGGAAGGAAGGGGGAGGGGGCCGAGGTTGTTCCATGAAGTGTTAGAGGGATGGGATAAAAGGCTTTCACCCCCATTTAAAAAACAAAGGATAGCCACGTAGTTGACGCTTGTAATTTACGTCTTGTGTGTAGGCTATTCAGAGCTTTTAACCAAAAAGAAAAGTTACGGAATATTAGACACACGATCCTCCATTCGCAAACTGCGGTGTAGTCTATCCAGCATGTTGTTCGATAAAAAAAACACATGTGTAACTAATGCGACATTTTATTGCGGTAACGTTTCGCTCTCTAGAAGCTTAGTCAAACCTGTAACGGCTAGACAAAACTCCTGGAGCCAGTAACTCTACCAGCATTAGTACTTTGCAGTCAGATGTTGGTGATCGCTCTACAGAAGCTGGTGACCAGGTCTGAACGCATATTGATCCACACAAAAAGGCAAATGAAGAAACATTTCCGGTAAATTTTATATGCTTTTGATAAATATTATCTGCACAGTATATCACAGACTGCTGCAATACATCACACGGACCGCTACAACGCATCACACGGACCGCTACAACGCATCACACAGACTGCCTTAACACATCAAAGACTGCCACAATAGGTTCCAGCAGACACAAATGAATTATGGATTAGCATTACAGACCGAACTTCGTTACTTCACATTATCACTCCAGTATTACCCACTGACAGTGTATACACGTCTTAACTAACTGTAACCAAAACTCGACGACTTGACTTACAACACAACGATCTTGTCTTAAACAAGCCAAGCGTATATTTCCACAAGTCTTGACATCATTAAAACTGGTCTGGATATCACGAAATTCATATTTCATCATTGTAAAATTATAATTAATAAATTATGTAAAATTTAGCAACGTAAGTTTGATCGCTAAGTTTGCCTAAAACGCAACACAGAAAATAACTATGGCGCTTATAAGCTAAAATACTAAATAATCCAGATCTTAGTTAAGACAAAGATCTGAGAGTTCTGGTTAGCATTGAAGCGAGAATTGTGGGTAGGTTTAAATGTAGATTCGGTCCTAAACGTCGTCGTAAGCTCCCCTATTTTATGTGCGGGTTATTTGTGTATCGTTCCAGTCACGGTATTGTGCCTTTTTTTTTTTGTTATTTAGAGGGTTACATAAATGGGAGTGGGTGGGTGAGTTGAGCCTGCCTAGCATGGGCCAATAGGCATACTACAGTCTTCCTTTATTCACAGGTTCGTGCACAGTTCACATTACTCCCTATTTTAGAGAATAACATCCTTACAAACCATGTAACGGGTGGAGTTCGAACTCATGGCAAGTTAGTAAAACTCCAGGCCAGTGGTAAACCACTAGGCCACCAGCTGGCTACAGTAAGATTCATCCAACTATGAATATTTGAAATCATATTACGATTTCGTGAGTAATAACATTCTTGATATTAATGGACTGAAGAAGCCACTGGCTGGCGAAACCTTTCCAGAATAAAGATACCCAAATGTTGTGCTTGTCTCATATCAACTTGTAAGTTTACTAAACCAATTATTCAAATTAATGTACAGGAACCTTGCATTGCTAATACCTCAGATAAAGACAAAAGCTAACAGAGTAACAATGTCCTTGGTGCCAAACAGGATACTTAATTC